CCCTACTTGCCGCATCCCCATACGGAATGCACCTGGTTGGTGATGGCGCCGCCAGGCGAGGTCATTTCAGCCACCTTCGACGACCGATTCGATCTGAGTCTGCGCCATTGCGAGAAGGAGACCGTGGAGCTCTTCGATGGCTCCACCACACTAGCGCGCCGACTCCTGCACACCTGCCGACGGCCTCCAAAGACGCTGCGCAGCTCAGGCAGTCTTCTTCTGGTGCACTACCAGACGCAACTGGACGAGCCGCACGGCGGCTTTCGGCTGAACGTCTCACTGAGTACCTGTGGCGGTCTGCACACTAGTGCGATGGGATTCATCAGTTCCGAGAACTATCCGGCCCTGGGGGGCTACCCGAGGCCGGCCGTCTGCGAGTACAGCATCAAGCTGCCGCGGGGCTCGTACATCCGCCTCAACATCAGCGATCTGCACGTGCCGTACAGCGCTCAGAAGGGACAGAACAGTAACAGCAGCGATCGACTGGAATTCGTGGACCTGGCCGATGCGGGCAGCGGCCAGCAGACCCCTCTGATGGTACTGGACGGCAGCGGAAGCTACCCATTGGACGTGACCCTCAACAGTAACGAGGTGGGCATCCGCTTCGTAGCGGTCTCGAACGTGAACAGCTATCGCGGATTCAATATTCGATACGAGCGGATAACCGGTACATGCTCCCGCGAAGTGAATGCTGCCTCTGGCACCCTCGAGATTCCAGCCAATGTGCAATCCTCCTGGCTGAGAGTCTGCCGCTGGAAAATCACTGTGCCCAAGGGCCAGAGCGTGCGCCTCCAGTTCCTCAATCTGGCCGATATGCGGATTGTCGCTCGTAATAATACCAGAAGGTGAGTGCACCGGGACTATTTTTGCATGTGAGTGTACCCTTTGAGACCATTAATCGGTTGCCGAACCACCCAGAACGGAAACAATTGGGAAATGGGAAGAAAAAGAGAAAATTAAACATTGCAACGACAGTGTAGGCTAAGAAATGGACAGAACACCAGAGATATCGTCTCAACAAATTGTAAATGGTAGAGGTACAGAAAGAGATATCCATATTTTGGGGGGCAGCATTTAGGATAAATGTAAGAGCCACCAAAGTGCTTCATTATAAGCCCAAACATACAGGGATCTTTGCACTTAATCAATCATTCACTAATGACTTAATATATCCTTGTGAAATATATTTGCAGCGGGAGGAGGAGTGAGATTCAACCGCAGTTTTCGTTCTACAACGATTTCAACCAGCTGTCAAAGATCACCGACTTCCGGATCGATGCATACAACGGCAGCGGCATCATCGAGTCCAGCGACAACGTTATGCTGGTCAGCATCATCACTACCCAACTGGACCTCACCACCATACCGTTGCGTGCCCGCTACAGCTCCAGCGAACCGTCACAGTGCCCGCCAGACATTGGAGACCAGGCGGCCGGATCGCTGTCCATCAAAAGTCTCAGCCAGCTGCCTGTCTACTATTGCACCATCAACTATGTGGGGCTCAGCGGAACCACACTCACCTTCAAAGTGGGAGAGTATGTGTACTGGAGCGGGGTCGGTCCCTCGGTGGTCTTCAGAGACGAAGGCTTCCGCTTTGTCAATTACTTGTCCACGAATCTCACCAATAGCTATATCTCAATGCCTTCCACGCCCGGGCGGATCACCCTGAACCAGGGAAAAAATGTCAAACTGAAGCAATTTCAGGCCACCTATCGCCGCCACAACTGCGGCGGTCAAATGCTTGTGGCCGAGGGCCTTGCCATAGAGCCGCCGCAGCTGATGGCAACCGTCGGCGAGGATTATGGGCCGCTGGAGTGCGTGTTCTCGCTGGGTGGTGGCAGGGGCTATGTGCTTGAGGGAAACCTGAGCCTCAGCGACAGCTGCGACCGCGAGTACATTGTTATCTATGCGGGTCCCGCACTGGTGGCCCGCCTCTGCCGCGGCATGACGATGAACAGCACGCGTCTGGGCAAGTCCCATTCGAAGGTGATTTACCATTCAGAAGAGCACCGGCCTGGCCGCAGTTGGTTCCGGCTGCAGCCCAGGCGGTCAGAAGGCCCCTTGGCAGGTAATGTGATTCGCGTCGACCAGAGAACTACGGCGCCCATATCGATCAATGGGACGGACTACAAGAACAACATGGAGCTGATCTGGGAGTTTACTACCAATGCGGGACTCTCCCTCTCGCTGCAGTTCCAAGGGCGCTTCTTCATTGAAACGTCCCCGAACTGCACCAATGACCGGCTGAGTGTGCAGCAGAGCCAAGACCGGCAGGAACCTGCGGGAGGTTGGTCTGAGGTGGCCAGCCTATGCGGCCGACAGCTGCCGCCACCGCTGCATGTGGAGGCGTTCCGAATGCGAGTGGTCTTCCAGACCAATAACAACATCACCGGAGACGGCTTCAGCTTCACCGTCTCCCCCAGCTGCGACGTTACGCTGCGAGCCACCGCGGAGCTGCAGACTCAGCGCTGGGACTGGCAGGCATTCCGCAATATGCTCAACTGCAGCTACGTGATCCTCACCGACAGCCAGGAGCAGCTGGTGGTCAGCATCAAAAGTGTGGGCCGCCCTTGGCCCGCCTTTGCCTGCACCAGGTCCTTCTTTAAGGCCTACCGCCAAAGCTCGAGCTCGAGCTCCGGCGATGAGGAAGTGGAAGAGGAGCTGCCGGAGAAGTTCTGCCCGGACTTTGAAGTAAATGGCTACAAGAGGCTCCGTCTGCAGTACATGTCGCCCACATCGCGACAATTTAAGCTGCAGTACCAGATACTCGGCTGCGGTGGGAACTACAGCGCGAACTTCTCCTTGCGCCCGCCGCAGCACGACGAGGATGTGAGGTCGTATGCCCACAATATGCACTGCGAATGGCGCGTAACGGCACCGCCCCAGCACGCCATCGTTCTGGAGTTCAAGTACTTTGACCTGGAGGAGAGCCGGAACTGTCGATACGATTACCTGTCGGTCTACAAGGGCAGCATGGTGCCGAACATTGAGCAGCGCGTGGCCCGTCTGTGCGGCAACTTGACCACTCAGCCGCCCACCATTATGGTGGACAGCAACCAGGCGCTAATTGTGTCCCACTCGGATTCATCGAACAGCTTTCGGGGCTTCCTGGCCAGTGTGCGCTTCGTCCCCAACTGCAATGAGCGAATCGCTCTGGACGATGATCTCCCGCGGATGAGCCTCGTGCGAAACTACAAGATGAATGCCTTTGAACAGCTGCTGTGCATCTTCAAGGCCAGCGCCACGCCTGGACATCGGCTGTCCGTACAGCTGAGACAGTTTCAGCCGTTTGGATCCTATCGGGGCTACCTAGAGATTATTGACAGCGACGCCGCAGAGAGCCAAAGCCTCGGCAAGTACTATGACCTGTCCGGCAATCGTACAAAGCTCTTCAGCTCCTATTCAGATCTGGCGATCAGGCTGAGTGGCACTTCCACCTTGGCGAGAAACGTGAGCTTCGAATTGATTCTGCAAATGGAACGCACAATCTGCGGAGAGACCGAATATCAACTGCGTTCGAACGAGGTGGGTTCAGGTCGCTTGAGGCGTTCGCAATGTATTCTATAAATTTTAAATTGACTTTTGGCAGAGCATCAAACTGGGCATCCAAGGAGACAACGGCACGAGGAACTATGAGGGAAGCGTGCACTGCTCTTGGTCGATTCGATTAACGGTGGAGGCGGAGATCGATATCCGGTGGGTCAATCTACGGGATGTGTCCCAGGTGACGGGAAAATGCGTGGACTACTTGCGTTTATCCGAATCGTGGGTAAGTTGTTTCCTTCCAGCGCAATCATAAGAACAAAGTTTACTAAAAATATTGAACATTTCAACATTTCAGTTACAGTCGCCGCAGTACTTTTGCGGTCAGTTCAACAATACCCTCAAGAGATTGTCGTCTTCCGAGAACTTGAATTTGCAACTAACATTCCATTCCGAAGAACTGACAGACTCCACTGGGTTTGAGTTGGTAATCAGGCAGAATAACCGTAAGCAGAAGCGGTACTTGTACTTGTAATTGTACTTGTGCCTGGGAAATAACTTGGGATATAAATAATGTGCATATTATTCAGCTTGTAGACGCAACTACACGGAGCTGAGCCAATCCATTGAAGATAGCGCTCTGACCAACTGCACCGTGGACATTCGAGTGCCCGAGGGCTACAGTGTGACTCTGAACCTCCTGTTTGTGTTGTTCGACATGGAGTCTGGTATGAAGTACCTAAACGTAAGTAATTCCGACATCCGCAGTGAAAACCAACCGTATAAATCACCTTTCCCACAACAGATAAGCGACCTGAAGGCCAATCAGACAGTCTTCCACACGAACAGATTCCTTGCTATCCCCACAGTCAAGTTCACGTCGACCAATCAGCTTCGCATTGCGAGCACGGGTATTGCTTCAATGCGATTCTTCTACTACTCCACCAGCAACGATTTGCCCAACGGCTGTGGTGGCGACATCTCTATGGGGGGTGGCTTTGGTAACTTGGCCAATCCCCCCTACGACAATCGGAACCACTCACTGTGCACCTGGCGTATATCAGTGCCAGCAGGCAGCATCCTGAGGATCAGTTTCACGAGTATACATCGCGTCGGTTAGTTTTAGCTAACATCAAGATAACATTAATTTTTTTAATTTACAGACTTCAACATGGGCTCGGAGACCAATTGTAATCTGGATAATATTAAATTCTACAAGGTTCTGCCGGATGCAAGCGAGGGCCTGGTGCAAACATCCTGTGGATCTACCATTCCCGACGACTTTGACGTTGGCAGTAATCGTGCCGTAATCGTTGCCAAGAAGTCACCTAATTTTGATGGACTGGGATTCCAGTTCTCATTCACCCTCAAAAATGTCAGTTAGACAAGGCAACTTATTTCTGAGATATTGTAGAATTTATAAATTTATTTTTGCAAGTAATCTGTACAAAAATACATTATGAATTTAGTGCTGAGATAACTATTTGCGCCAGCAAAGGATAAATTTCCTAAATGCCTAATGGGCCCTATAATTATAAGTTTGTATTAAATGAATCAATAACTTTCTTTTTTAGTTTGCCAAAGATTTCGATATTATAGACCAACTGGTCTAGACTTCTTCGGAATGGCACGAAACGGGCAGTGTCTTCAAAGGATTGCCTTGCGCGCCGCAAACGATAATGAATCTCATCCAAATCGTGCCTATGACCATGCGATAATTCAAAATCAGTGGAGACCATGGCCGAGAACAGGCTGGCAAACTCGTCGGAAACCTTGTAGTTGTAGCCAACAGAGGCTTTCCGCTCAAATGCCTCGTTGCTAATGATCACATTGTGGGAGGCTAGCCTGGAGTCGCTAGACTGAAGTGAATAAAATGAAAATGAGTTCTTGTTTAATACAACAATGCGTGCCGTCAGGCTGTACTTACGGTTGGTAACGCGCTGGCCAGGCAATAATCCCGGCTCGGTTGCAGTAGGAAGCGATTGGATGGCTCACACTTTGGAGCGTACTGATAGCCCTCTCCAGTGCGACGGAAGCATGGATGATGATCGAGCAGCCGCAGGCGCTTTTTGACGGTCAGCGACAATTTGTAGGTGTTCACAATGGGCAGCACATCTTTTAAAAATTTAGAGCATGCTTCATGTGGTGTGAGATCTTTAAACTCGGCCAAATCCGTGGACCATTCATTCCAGGAAGAAACATCATGTATGTACAAAAGCCGGCCAAAGCGGACCGCGTACTTAATCAAGTGTTCGTGTAAAGGTGGAAAAATGTTCTGCAACGGCGTTGATCCGGTGGTTGTTGCAATTTGTGCAATGAAGACCTCTTCATCTACGGTTTCATTCATGGTGTGTTAGTAGTACTTATTATTTCAATCAAGGCGGACAGACTTTAAATTTAATAGTTGTTCTTCATACATCGATAATAGTAAAGTATCGATATATTTGATTCGCTTACACATGTGAAGCGATATTTCTATTTCGCTATTGCCCATCCCTATTAAAATCAAAGAAACAACAACAAAATGGAGAAAGAACTAGATTTAATCAACAGCTCTTTGAACAATGCCTTGGCCAAGCTGGTGGAGACTAAAAGGAAACAAAACAAGAATGATGATTGGCAGAATCGCAAGGAGAAGATCGCCAGGCTCATAAGGCTGCATATTCAACATGTGCAGCTAACTGTGATTACACACAGACGTCGGTCGCAGCAGCGGAGCAGGCGCCGTTTTAAGCAGATGCGTTCGTTTTTCATGCAACAAATGATAGAGATGCAATCCAACTATATGCAGATGTACGCCATGCTGCGCCTCAAGCGTGCTAGCCTGGAAGACGAGGAGTCCGAGGACAGCGACGCCAACGTGGGGCCTGAAGACAATCAGACCTTCTCTGAGGACATATTTCCGGATCTCAGCGATGAAGAGTTCCTTAACAAACTGCACATAACCCGGAGCACCTTTAAAGCGCTTTGCCGGCAGCTAACACCTGCAATGCGCAAGACCGCAAGCAAAAGCTCGCTCGAAATTTCCCTGGACAAATGCGTTGCCTTGGCGCTCTACTATCTAGCCAGTGGCGAGCGCATATCGATTATATCGAATTTGTTTTCCGTACCAAGGCTGAAGACAATCAAGTGCCTGAAACTCTTCTGTAACGCCGTCATGTTAACCTTAGGAAAGGCCCTACGCAAACTGCCACAAACCGAGCCAGACTGTGCCAGTGTGATGGTCGGCTTCCAGAAGGAAAGCAACATGCCGGCTGCCCTCGTTGGTATTCTGGGCGTGTGCTCTATCCCTATACGTGCCAGCGGCGGCACCCAGAATTCTGCTGGTCAATCGGTTATGCGCATGGAGTTTCTCCTAGACGACCGTATGTTCTTCCGCGAACTATGGCTCGACAACGGAAGCAAGGCCTTGCTGATGCCAATGTTCTCAAAAGCTCCAAACCGACTTACCGAGCTGCCTCAGGTACCCATAAATGGGCGTCTAATTTCCCCCTTTGTCTTGGTTCCGCCTCAACAAAATTATCCGTTGCGTCGTTGGTTACTCCAGCGCTATGCGGATCCAATTGCTCCACACGAACACGACTTCAATGAAGTTGCGGAGCGTCTGCAGGAGTTGAGCGACTGTGCCCTGCACCGTCTGATGTCGCGTTGGAACTTTTTCATCCAGCCGCTGGACATCCGTTTCAATACGGCGTCCTGCATTATTACAGCTTCTGCAGTACTGCACAACCTGCTGGAGCAGATTAGCGAGCCGCACATGCTGGAATGGGGCAACGCAGTGGACGTCTCAAAGTTTAAATCAGTCCCACTGTCCGACTGCTGCGAAGACGTCGAAGGCGAGACGGATAAAGGTTTGCGCGTACGCGACTTTCTGGCGCGGACCATAAGTTCCACTGAAATCTAACTTCGCATACAATATTCCGTATTGCAATAAAAATAAATTTAGTTAAGATACATTTAACAAAATGTAGTTTCTCATTTATTATCTGATGTTAAAATATATGGACATCTAGTAGAGACGCTGGGGTGGGCCCATAGACGACTTGATGTGCAGGGAGCGCACATTCTGCCAGTTCTTCTTCAACAGGGAGACCAGGAAATTGATCGACAAGTTGACGTTCTGGGCAAGCTCGTCACTCTTCATGCCGACGTGTCCAACGGCGACCGACAAACACAGAACCTTCTTCATCTGGAACTTTATGGTGGACTTGACCTCCTCGATCTTGCCAATCATGGACTCCTGATGCGACAGCAGGGCAGGGAACTTGCCGGCCTTGTTCAGACCGGGACCCAGCAGACGTGGAATCTGCTTGATGAGGGACTCGGAAGCCAGGAACGCGTCGTAAGACTTGGCCAGCTTCTTCACAAGTTTCTTGTTCTTGTTCAGCTTCTTCAGGGCTTCGGCATCCATGAACTCAACGCCATTGGCCTTGGCCTCGTCGCAATGCTGCTGATCGCCGAGGATGCACACCTTCATCTTGGGACGGGGGATGTGCTTCAACCTGCAGATCAAAAACAAACGAAAATATTCATCAGTATGCCACTCACACCACACAGACACGAGCCTAGCTCTAATGAGGGGGAATGTTGGGAACGCAGAAAACTTACAAAGCCCACAGGGGAGCACGCGTGTTTTCATTTTAATAACTACAGGGGTCGGTCTCCATTGCTGGAGACCTACTCAATTTGTTTTTAAGACCCTGAGTGCAGGTCCGCCGATCAATGTTACCACATGATCGACTTCCTAACGCTGTGGCACACTACTCGCGGGGAGCAGGCGTACTCACTGGCGCAGGTATTTTAGCCAACGTACTTGACAGTGCCGGAGAAACGCTTGTCCTTCTGGGGATCGTAGTTCTTGAGGCCGATTTGCAACTCCACCGTCTCGAGGAAGCCACGCTTCTTCTTCAGCGAGTTCTCCAGAATTCCACTGACGCCCTCATAGAGCGTGTCACGCGAAACTTTCGATCTGCAACACAAAGTAAATTATTAGCGAAAATATTCACAAAACTTTCATAAAAATATGGTCCAGGCCTTGTTTAACTGTCGAAGTATTGTGCAAATGAGTGCAGCTCACATTAATAGCCGCACACGTAGCACAAAATCACATTTAATTTTGCAATCATTTCCAAACTGATATGGACATGGAAAATGGTCTAAAAAGCTGGTTTCTGATTGCCAAATGCATAAAATAGTATGCATTGCATCGTTATCGTACCATCATTTAACGAATTACAGTTAAACCATGTCAAAAACATCAAGGATGCAGAGTATTTTCAAAGATTTATTTTATTCAACTTACGCCATGTCTGCACGTCGGGACGTCCGGTTTACGAAAGAACGTATAAGAAGAGGTGGAGAGCTATCGATGGCACTATCGGCACTATTGATGGTTTGATACTATCGATAACGTTCGATATTTTTTAGTGAGTGCTTTACACAGTGAAAAATGCCTGAAGCGACCTGAAATAATAATTAAAAATAATAATAATAAAGGCAATGGAAAACAAAAATAACATTCGAAGTGATGCCATTATAATAAAACGTCATTATTTGGAGATGTCAATTGCCATGGAGGAGACTGATCCACTGCTTTGGATAAAAGTATATATAAATATATTTAAATAATATTAAAAAAAAACAAAAACCTATTATCTTCCTATTTTTCAGGTCAACGAAAATGAATTCGATTTAGTCAAAATCCTTATGTTCAAATATTTATGCGTGCCAGCGACGTCTGTAGAATCCGAACTCATGTTCAGCAAGGCTGGATATATCGATTCAACAATATAGTGTGTCGTATGATGACAGCCCCGAATTTAGCCCACTCAAGCCTTATATTTAAATAGTTCAACTACTTGATCTTCTTGTAGATTCATGACATTTTTCCTCTGAACCTCATAAAAACCACGATATTTTTCAGTTGAACTGCCCTAAAATTGTTAAATGTTTTTTATTTTCTCTTAATAGCTTTAAGACATTAGCCTTGGCTAAAAAGAATATCTACCCAATTCTAATACAATATTCTAATATTTTTATTAAAATAAATGTTACTTTCATTTTATAAGACGGAAACCAAAACTATTTAGCTTTTAAGAGATCCAAATCTTTCATGGACTCGTGTTGCCACAATGTCATGGGGCCCGGCGGTAGTGGCATCAGTTTTCCCTCAAAATCTTCACTGGTTGACGCCGCCGAGTGCTCATCCTCGCAACGGTATTTAAACGCACTGATGTGATTTATGAAAGTCTCGAGTTTTGCTCTTTCCTTGGAGCCAGTTGCTACTTTTTTTAAGCCGTAGATGGACCGACCACTGTAAAGAAATTAACGATTCATTAATTTAAAAGTATCATATGGATAATCTTCTGGACCCTACATGTATTGGAAATGCACTTCTTTCAGGCGCATACTCGTTACAATCAGTTGCAGATGCTGCAGCGGCACCAAGCGATTCCGGTAGGAATTGGTTGCCTCCAATCTTAGAACGCTCATATTCTTAAGCAAGAGATTTATTGAATCCTTGAAGACAATCCACCGCAAAACCCAAGCGTCCATGACGGAGGCATGATCCTTAATAAGCCGTAGTGTATCGACCACCCATTTATTGGCAGTGTTCTTGTTGCTGAAGCGCAGCTGGATTACGGGCAGACAGTGGACAAAGCTGCAAATGCGGTGCTCTAACAGAACGCAGACTAGTAATTGAAGCTCTGATTTAAGGACCTGCGGGGCTTTTCGCAGCACATTGTTGTGCAACAGAACCTTCCAAACTCGGTTGTTAGGAAAAACAATTTGATCGCAAGTGATCATTCGACGAAACAGTATGTGCATTTCTTGCATATATCTTTGGATTAGCTGATTGCAACTTGTATGCGATCTCCACGTTGTGACGGTCAGACATCTGAGGAGTACGTCATATGTTTCATCGTCCAGTTGAAAACTACTCTTCAAGCCTAGGTGCAGTAAGATAACGGAGCAGAAGAAAAACTTGGTTCGTTTAAAGTCCTGTGCAGGCTTGGAGAGTTCACAAACGCAGAAGTCGCGTAACTGCTTGGCCAGACCGATCAAATCCCTGTCCTTAAGCTTCCCTCTTTGCTGAGCATTATGCAGCCTGATGAGGATGTAGGCCAAGCTTTCCGAGCCAAAGAGACCTACAAAGCAGTATGTAATAACAGGCAATATTAAGAACTATACGCTTACTCAATTTGTCGTTCTGCTGTGGTCTTTTCAGCAGATTGGTAGCTAAGGTGTCCATAATTTCAGCCAGATGGTCTCTGCTTAGCTTGTTGTGGTTGGCCCTTAGAAGGGCGTGCAGACGCCGCAAGTACTGGGCAAAGGCTTCCAGCAGTTCTGGATCTTCCCTCTGTGTTGCCTCCACATCGGTGGCATTCAACTCAGCCTGCAGTTGAGCGTATTCATCTTGCAAAGCCTGTGCAGCGGTAATATATAGCTGACTGTTGCCGGTTGCCCTAACGGAGTAGGATAGATTTTTGTAGAGGCCGTAGAATTCCGATTCGCTTAGCGTTTCATCATGTAGAAACATATCTAGGCAGAATGTCTCCAGTGTCAGCAGCAGCTATGCAATAAACAGAAATATGTATGTACTATGTCTTGGCCAAAATTATTTATACTGTTCCTGGCACAAACCTCGAGATCATGGGATGCCACAGCCATAAAATCGACGGCACTGTAGACACTGTAGAGCACAGCTCGGGTGGCTTTTTGTTGGGACGAAATTAGAGCCGGCCAAACACGCAGAAGTTTGTGCATCTGTTCACGAGATTCCTCCGAAGCGGAATATTCTAACCGATGCAGGTCAAAGAGTACGCATATGCATTGTGCGGCTATAAGGCTCTGTTCGATGCGCACTTCCTCAGCAGTGATCAGATAAACGTAGATGTCAAACCTCTTAGCCGCTGGAAAATGCTGCATGAGCTTCTTCAGATAGCGTGTCAGTTGGACCCTGAACTGCGCAAAGGTGAGATTCCGAGGACGGCTGTGCTGACTCTTGATGTACGTCTCCATTATGTGAATACCTATTTCCATCTCAGTGTACTGACGCTGGGCCAATGCCACGTAGAGCTCTGCTGCCATTGAATGAACCGTAGCGAAAGCTCGTGGCAGGCGAATCAACAGCTCCAGAATAATTTCGTGGAAGCGCATTGGGAACCGTTCAGCACTGACAATGTGTCTGGAAACGCAATCGGAACGGATCGGTTAATATGAAATAATATAAAATCAAATAACATTTGATTTATGCCACTGCATCTTACCGCTGGAGAGTGAGTATGTACTGGAGCGTGGCCACAAGAAGTGGTTTATTTTTACTCGTTTTGAACACCTCAAACTGTAAGGCCAGAAATTTATCAGTGATCAGCTCATTGGTAAAATGACGTAGATATAGAGTGTCACATTGATCTTTCTGCTGGTTCTCGGCAAGCTGCTTGAGCATACTTTCCAGGAACTCGTAAGCCATTATGTAATTATCGTCCTTCTCCCTCTGAAAGTACGATTGCATTCACGACTGATTGCCGGGACAGACTGGTGCAGAGCTTACCACAATGGTCAAAACATAGTAGACAAAACCCAGTGCGGAGTTCTCCACGCTGCAGAACGTCCCAAAGTGCTCCCGAAACATGTCCAGCATAGGTTTTAGTATAAGTCTACTGGTCGCCTTGTAGCTGCAATTGACAGAAGGGAATTTTCGATCACAGTCACGAAGATTGTAAGTGCTTTGTGCTCACTCACAACAGCCCATAGCGTGCGTCAATGGTGAGAGTAAGGCAAATAAGCTTGAAGCCGTCAAACGAATCGCTATGTGTGGGGAGCAGTTTGGCCAGCCCGCAGAGTATGCTGAAAGCTACAGTAGATTATTTATCAGTTAGCTAGCACTTATTCGAGTTCCGTGAGAATCACTTACACATTCTGGCCACTGGCTCGTATAAGTACTTGTCATCTGCGGAGGGTTCCTGATGCATAGTGGCGAAAATGGAATGCACCACTTTCGTCCATGTGAACACCACTTTTAGATAGCAGGCCAGCAGGTCTGTCATCTCGTCGAAGCGCTTGTCATCAGGTGTCTGCGACGTATTCCGTTCCTGCTCCAAACCCTTCGTATAGCGGACCAGTAGAGTAGGCAGTATGTCCAGAAAGGAATCCACGGTAGTCATCACAAAGGGCACGACATCAAATATGTAGTTCGAGTTGTCGTTGCGGTATGGATGATCCTGCGTTTCCCGAAACGCCTTAACACTCACATTGAACTTCAGACCAAGCACCTTGAAGCACTGGCCCACAAACTTATGCGACACCTTCACATGCCAGTTATGTGGATCAGCGAATATTGCGGCAATAAAGGCGGAGGCGTATTCTCGCGCCACAGACTGAAAAAAACGGTTTATAAATCTATTGGCGATGTCAGTGCACAAACTGAGCTCACCTCAGCACTGGCGCCCGTTAAAATGATAGTAAAAAAATCCATTTTAAAGAGTTTTTTGTATATTCTGAATTCAGTGCGTCCCGTTAGCCCGCTACAATTATATTCAAATTATCGGCGTCTCGCAAAGCACAAAGTTGCTTTCGATGATATTAGAGGTCACACTTCAGGCGGAAGATACTGAATAGTGTCATCTCAATTTTTCAGTTTCATTTGAATATATAGGTGGTTAGTTCCTCAATTCCAGACTAGACTGCAAGACAGAGATAGTACGAGACACAACCATACACTCTGTTCTTGATCCAACTGAAATTTCTAAGAATATCGCCCAGCAGATATTATTAATGGTCCGTTAATTTTTCTAAAATCTTTTGCATCGCTATCGAGTAAAACGGCACCGATACGATACTATCTCGACTTACCTTTTGTAGAGATGTGGCAGCACCAATCAAAATTGAACTTTGCTGCAGCTGGCTGGGATTGTTTTGTTTTGGAATCAACTCAAATCAACAAATCTGCCTACTCCAACGCCGGCCCGGTGACAGTCCACAGACAAGGTGAATATTTTATTTATTGGTAGTTATTTTCCTGAAGAAGCTCGGCTTACTAACAAATCACTTTCAGCTGCAGCGATATTCCAGCAGTATTCGACACAAAGAAGAGCACGGTCGCCCGCTCTCAGAGCGGAGTGCAGACATAAAGAGTGCGTGCAAACAAGACTGCCTTCCCTCGCACGGTACGCCGTTAGTCGCTGCGCCTTGTATTAGCGATAGCTTCAGTGCAAATTTCGAATTATATAATTTATCCAAGAGTGCACCCATTGATTTTCCCACCATCCACTGCGACTGTAAAGACCGTGTCTGACTTCTGGACATGGCGCGTCTCATCGAGAGCAACGTAAGTTACGACACAAGTTGCAGCCCAGCATCGCTTTACATAACTCCGTTCCAAATGTGCGGCATTTCATAATTGTCCGCCACACACCCGCACAAGCAGATCATTCCTATTCTCGGGACAAATGCCTAGTCGTTTTCATTGGTGTAGATTTCTGGTAAGTGACGTCGCTTCGCTATTTATAGAGATGCTATCGTACGCCTATTTACCTGGTGCATGGTGCTGTGGTAGAAACGGGACATAGCTAACCAATCCCATCACTTCTCCTTCGTCAAGGAGGACTCAATCAGAGCAAGGGATGCCGTGCACTCTCCACCCCGAGACTTCGGGATGTATCCCCAATAGCATCCCCTCTCTCCAAAAGAAGACTCTTTCAGTGCAAAGCCGGTGCATTGCAATGCCAAGGCCAATCAGCTGTTGGAGCTAGCCAGCTATCACTCTCTACACGCTACCCAAACAAAGAGAGCTTTGCGCTCTTAATCAATGAAAACAAACTTTTGCCTAACTTTGCACTTTACTGTCATTTGCGCTCTTCTCTCTCTTTTTCAGGCTCGCTCTCTTGCTCTCCTACTATGGTAGTGTACAGTGTACTCACTGTAGATAGTGCAAAGTGTCTGCAAATGAAAATTTCTATCTCATATTTGGTTTGTGATTGGTTTATACATGCCAGCAAAATAATCTGACCTCATTGTGCTCGGCTCGGACCACTTTATCATATAGCCGCAATTCAACTTATATTCCAATCAAAAATGAACTTCTTACTCGCTCTTCACTGTAGCTGAATCGCGGTGACTTGTTATCTCGGTACAAGAAGAGGTAGTGCGAGAGAGGGAGAGAGGATGAGAGGCAAGGCAGTGCCAAGCTACACGCGACGACTTCATTCAAATTTCAGCACTCGGCCGCACGCGTTTTCGTCGTCGCTCAAACGTTTTCGCTTCCTTTCAAGTTTGCTTGCAAGTCAAATCAGAAATTCTACAAAAAAAACAAACACAATTTGCATTTATCAAGTGTGCGAGCTATGATGTATTTCGATGTAAGTTGATATAAGGTGGCTGTGACGTCATTGTTTGATACTATTCACGCTCAAGTGTGTGGGTCAGGGGGCTTTAGACCGGCTCGGGAGTTTCAAGGTCAGCCCTGGCTAGTGGAGCGACCAAAGTGCGACGCGACTGTGGGTTAAACCTGTAACCTCAATCAGCTGTTGCGTCGCGAAGCTTTGCGGTCACAGGCCGAAAACGATTCGAGATGCGAGTCGAGATTTCATCTTTGTTTTCTCTTATCGCGCCAGGCGTACGCGGTATTTTCCATCTTACCCCTTGACCTTTAATCAGTACCACTAATCAGTCTGTTCCAAAAAATATATGTAACAACAAATACAACCAAGCATTAGTCCACCTTTTAGTGTGTCATAAGCGTCCGCACAATCTCTGATTGTACATTAACACTCGAACGTACAGGAGCAGAGAACATTGATATCTTGTTATCTTTGCTTGTTCGACAATCACTATGCATGTTTTTTATAGCAAGTGCATTTACAGGAAATCGATAAAACGATAACACACGGCCACCGTTCATACATGAACACACATACATGCATGCCCCCATGCATGTTCAAATATTATATTAGGATAAAGATACTTATTTTACTTTATTCTTGCAGTTTGTGCCAATCGCCGTGGGCGTGGTAGCCGTCGTAGCCGGCGCTCTGATCGTCCACTATTTCCTGAACAAGAAGTCTACTAAGCCGCGCCGGGAGCCGAACCGTACTGCCCGCCTCCGCACCCTGGTGGACCCCAATGACAAGTATCTGCTGCCGCTGGTCGAGAAGGAGGTGCTTAGCGTTGACACACGTCGCTTCCGCTTCGGCCTGCCCTCCAAGCAGCACGTTCTGGGCCTGCCAGTGGGCCAGCACATCCACCTGATTGCGACCATTGACAATGAGCTGATCATCCGTCCCTACACGCCCATCTCGTCTGACGACGACGTCGGCTACGTCGATCTGGTGGTCAAGGTGTATTTCAAGGACACGCATCCCAAGTTCCCCGGCGGCGGCAAGATGACCCAGCATCTGGAAAAAATGGAGCTGGGCGACAAGATCTCGTTCCGCGGACCGTCCGGCCGCCTGCAGTACCTGGGAAACGGCACCTTCTCTATCAAGAAACTGCGCAAGGACCCGCCCAAGCACGTGACCGCCAAGCGGGTCAACATGATTGCCGGCGGCACGGGCATCACTCCCATGTTGCAGCTGGTCCGAGAAGTGCTGAAGCGCAACGACAAGGACAAGACCGAAATGGCCCTGCTGTTTGCCAACCAGGTGAGTGACCCGGCCCCGCGAGTGCCACTCGGCTATTCTAATCTTTCTAATCTCTCTCCTATCCACCACACAGAGCGAAAAGGATATTCTACTGCGCGGGGAGCTAGACGAACTGGCCCAGAAGCATCCCGGCCAATTCAAGGTCTGGTACACCGTGGACAAGGCGGCCGAAGGTGAGCTGCAGTTAGGGCACACTCCGGACACAGCAGTCATCTCATTTGATCGTTTCATGTTGAGTTTGCTGGCAATTCCAAAGAATTCTTTGTACCGCACCATGACTTCTAGGTATAGAAGTTCTCTGCTATGCGATCTAGCTGTATTTATATTGCCTCATATAGATTACTATTACCTTCACGGCAGGTCTTTCCATAATGGTTGTAAGATCTTCTTGTTAATCACGAGTTTTAAAAGTTTTCAAAGGCTGCTATCGGTACCTCTTGGTCAAATATCAAGCCATCGCCTCAAAGAAGATCGAGCAATAACCATTATCATTTTTTGTTGTTGTATCAAGCAATTGTTATCTAATAACAAATACCGAATATCACCTGATGGAAACCCTTACTGATAACAACCTTCCGCCGTAGTTTGCCTCATCCGTATTCAATTTCCTCATCCGCATCGGACGCATAGAACATCATTGAAACACACAATTGAGCCATGTCCAAGTCATCTATTATGTTAAGAATTTTGTGTCTGCCCTCGCCACATGCTGCCCTCAAACGGATGCCGCGAACGGCCAACGCCCGGTTTATAGCCTGGTCCTACAACACCGGACACGTGAACGACGAGATGATGGAGAAGCATCTCTACCCGCCCGACGTCGACACGTTGTGCCTTCTGTGCGGTCCCCCGCCCATGGTCAACTATACGTGCATACCGGGGCTGGAGCGCCTGGGGCATCGGGCCGAGCAGCGGTTTAGCTATTAAGACCAGCTCCATCTAGCATATATATTCCGTCAAAGAGTTTTTGCTTTCGTTTAACAATTGCCAGAGGGAAACTGCGGAGACTGCGCACCGATCGTGCCAGATCCCGGTTGTGTAGACGCCCCGTGGCTAACCCCGTTTCGTTGCTCTCTCTACTCCCGCACAGGCTGGGCCTATAGCAAGGGTTTCATCAACGAGGACATGATCGCCGGACATCTGATGCCGGCCAGCGACGACACCATCGTGTTGCTCTGCGGCCCACCGCCCATGATCAATTTTGCCTGCAATCCAGCGCTGGACAAGCTCAACTTCCACCCGGACACCCGATTCGCCTACTAGAGGGGAGCGCCCAGCTTCCTTGGAGCCTTCCTGCCAAAATGGCAGGGCTAACTTGCGTTGGAGAAAGAATTTGCATTTCGGTTTTGTCATTTTCATGTTAACATGTTGCCTAACACCACCTCATCGAACTCTGCATCCAAGCGCCTGCATCCGGTCCCAGAAGTCGGGATCGATGAGATCGATGAACCCAAAGCAAATGTGTAACATGTAACACCATCCGTGCTAATTGTTGTAGCTCTTTTTTATTATTTGTGAATAAAAACAAGTGTTAACAAAAGGAAACATCGAAATTTGCATTTTACGTGTGCGTGAACAATTTGTTGTCGCTGAACCTTCCGACTTTTGCATTTGCATTTGCATATATATTTTATTTGGGCAATCCGAATCCGAATCGATTTCACGCGTGGAAATGAAATTTTAGAATCGGTAATTTCGGTTGTGTTTCCGTCTACAAATATGGGCAAGATTCAACAATGATAATCTGCTCTTAATGAGAGGTAACCGCACAGGTTTCTCTACTCTTTTAATACTGCCTTCACAGCCCCAAAATTTTTTCAAAAGTGGAATGGTAGTACTCATTACGCCCATTGCTCAGAGAGCAGCCGACGCCAGCCATACTCACAATCGAAAAGCGCAAAAGCGAATGCCCGCGAATGCAGAAACAAAATACATGTCGTATGCGTGACTCAAAGAGTTTGGGGATATATGTTGTATTGGCGTGCCTACCTTTGTCACCTTTGTGCCCACCCCAAGTCAGAGGGAAACCCACAGAAAAATATCAACCGAAACTCATTTCTTGTGCATTACTTTCACAATTTTATTGAGTACAATACGTTTTTATGGAATATGTAGCATGCGAGGAGACTGCTCCCAGCAATGCTATCTATTATCAAGTTACATTTGAGGGTTAGTAGATCGTACTATATGCATCTAATGGTAAAAGAGCTTCGCTAAGCCACCAGCAAAACGGTTGGTTAGAATACTTGAGTGTGTGTAAGCGTCGTTGGGTTCAAGATATGTGTTACAGTTCGAATCAGGCAATAGAGTGGACGTTATTGGATGGTTCTGTGGCTTGGTGTCTCGTCTTGTGATGTGGTTTAAGTAAAATCTATTAAGTGTCTGGTGTAATTTGATGTGTGTATTTTGTTACAATTGTTGCGTGGTTCACAGAACATTCATAGCCTAACTAGTTAGTACGTATATAAATATGTAATATTATTTCTGAAGCTAGCCCTGTTAGTGCGTACGATTATGGTGAAATACACATTGTATACATTCATGTGATATTCTTTACAAATACAAAAAAAAGGAATTACATGGCGAACATATTAAAGAACTCAAATAGTAAAATATATTTATATCCAATGGAGTGCAGTTGGACTTGGTTGTGGTTCACATTTTTTCTTGGTTAGTTTTGCTAATCTTCTGCAGCTTCGGATCTCTCTTGTTTCGTCTTCTCGTGGCGGGGCGTGGCGTGGCCGCAAGCTCTCACCGTGGACAGTAGGAGGTGTTGGTGTTGCTTGCTGTAGTGGTGACTAATCTCTCATATGGCGAGGCATATAAAATTGTCCAGTACCTGTTACGGGAGCTCGCCGATCCGATCCGATCCACGCCTCTTTGCTGTCTTTTCTTCCTTTTTGTTCTCTCCAACTTCCATCAATTTCTCAGTTACATAAAATTAGCTCTAGAACTACAAATAATACATGGAACACTAAACTAAAAAATAAAATTTGGCGTGGCTAAGGGCCCGCACAAAACACTTAAAACTTATAAAACAAATTAACTTCCGATTTGGAATTGATCTCCGTCTCCTCCTGTTTCTGCTTGGCCATGTAGCCCTGCAAGAGCTGATCAAAATCTTTCTCATTCAGCTGGATTGTCTCGATGGAAGCCACCTTCTTGTACCTGCGGGGAATGTATTAGGATTAGCAATTATGATCATCATGACATCATCGTTCGCGACATACTTTTCTCTATTGTACTTTTCCCGAATGGCCTGGGTGTTGAGCTCCTTGCTCGTATTGTGCGTTTGGCACAGCTCCAGCACCACAGTCTTCAAGTCCTCTAGTTTGTAGGTAGTGATCTCCTCTAGACGCGGAGTCCAGATCTCCATGCCCAGTATGTGACGCGACAAGGCGAGCGCAGCGGCCGACGTCAGCGACGGCAAGTGCTCCAAGTACAGTTCTCCCTGCATAAGCGCCAGCTCGCACAGGAACTGGGAATCGAAACGAGCACAAGTTACAAGATTAGAGATGTATAAAGCCATCACTCCCGTAGTAGAAACCCACCAGAGTCAGACTCTTCAGCTTCTCGGGCATGTCGCACATCACAGCGTACGTGTTGATAAACACATAGGCCGTTGGGGTGCACAGATCGAAGGAGAGCGTCTTCAGGATGACCTGCTCCATCCGCAGCACTTGCGACTTGGTGTAGCTGTCGTCGGTGAGGAAGACAAACTCACCCACATCTGGTGGATAGATCTCCTCGTATTTCCTGCAAAGAACAGTTCCATGAAGATGTGGACGTTCACATAGCAATCGAAGTGCTACTTTACTTACGAGGCAATGTACATGGCTGCAGTGCCAACCAACTGGAGCTTTGGACGCACCACGGCCATCTGGCTGAGGAAGCGGTCAAGGTAGGAGACCGACAGATAGAGGGTCTCCGTGTCCAGCTTATACTCCTCCGACACCTCCACCAGCCAATCGACCAGGATCGAGCGCATATTGTAGTTAATGTCCTTCTGCTTGCGCATGTACTCACGCTTCGGGCGACGTTTTTTCTGAAAATGATGATCGATTAGTTTGGCGAGCCATAATTCTTTAGAATGAGCCATTAAAAGGTGTGCAATGAGAAGAGGAAACCTGACATAATCGCAAACAGATTTCGTTCAGAATCGTTTCGGCTCGCTCACGGGTACATAATTCTACGAATCTCGTGTTTGCCATGCTACCCATTAGGATTCCTAATCTTTCACAGAGCTTCAAAGATGAACTGTTAGTTTTGATATTATGCCAAAATCCCCGCGACTCCATTACACCCCGAAGCCAAGGGGTATCTCACGCATGACCAAATCTTTTGGGAACCCAGAAAGCTGACGAAAACTCCACTCCCTGCCATGGGAAGTGCGGTCAGAGAAAGAGAGAATCGAATTTACTAATTTGTATTTGTTTATTGGTTATTTCGTGGTACGTGAGCGGCATTCAAAACCCCATCGAAACGGGGAAATCATTTGCAAAACGCCCATACAGGGAATATATACATAAGGTGTTTATTTAATGTTGGCTTTAACGATTATTGGACACGTCAAGCGCCAGGCGGGCACAGCGGTACAGGCAAAGATTGGAAAAGAATCTGCATTTCTCTACACGTAATTATGATGGTATCTATGGCGGGAAACTGTGGCTGGGGGCAGGGCGCAGCGAGTGGGGGGGAATCATAGGAGTGAGGCGTCAAATGACAAACAAACTAAGCAACTAAGAGGCGGAACAGCCGGCAACCGGGCAACCGGGCAAACAAACTCAAACCCCGAATCAGAGTCAAATATTTGCTTTCAGTGAGAGAAACACGTTCAGATCCGACAAATCTTGCAAGAGTTATTTTCAGGATTATATATATTTTGTATTTGTATTTGTATTGTATTTCGAAGCAGCCACAGGATGACTCTCAAGCTGGGTATCTGTACGAAGGACGACCTCAACGAGGCCATGAAGCTGCAGAAGCGCGAGCAGTACGAGGAGGAGCGCAAGAAGCGCATTTTCAACGCCAAGCAGCGTCTGTACGGGGTGAGTCCTGGGGCGGGAGGGCAGGCTTTCTGTGTCCATGTTCGGGAATCACACTCCTCGTCCTCCTCCTCCTCCTCCTCCGATTGTTTTGCAGCTGGACCTCCCCACGCTGGAGCGCCAGATCATAGAGAAGAACAAGCAGCGCAGCGTGCAGCTGGAATGCGATAAGCGGTACGAGGATCAGGAGCAGCTGCAGAAGCGGCTGATCGCGTCCAAGGAGAAGGAGCTGGACATGCAGAAGCGCGTCGCCAACTCGGACCTCAACTACTACCGCTGCCGCTACCAGAGAAAGGAGCAGCGCCGCGAGTTCGACCTGAACGACCCCGACTTTCTTAAGAAGGCAAAGCCCATGCGCATCGCCGACGACGACATTACGTTGGGCATCTCCAGTGCCCAGATCTTCTCCGGCGAGGATCTGTACAACAACGACCGCAAGGTGCGCCAGCGGGAGCAGCAGCGCGCCTGGCTGGACCAGCAGGTGATGGAGCGCAAGCAGGCGGAGGAGGCCCGTCGCCAGGCGGACCACATGATGATGGAGAACATCAACTGCCGCGACAAGCACCTGGAAGAGATGGCCAAGTCGGAGAATGTGATGCGCAACCAGGTCATCCAAAAGGTGCGCGAGTTCAACATCAATCTGGCCAAGCAGAAGCGTGTGGGCCGCGATCAGGCCAAGCGGGAGAAGCACGAGGACGATATGGCCGAGATATACAACATGCTGTCCAGCGACATGCTCACCGAGAACCCCGACGTGGCCCAGTCGCGCACCGATCCCAACAAGAAGATCGCCTTCATGTACCGCGGCATGACGCCCGAGGAGTTGCTCGCCTTCCGCAAGGGCCAGGAGCAGCAGCTCCTAGAAGCGGCCCAGCGCAAGACCGAGGCACAGCTCATGGACAAGCAGTGGGAGCAGTATGCCATCAACATGGACCGCACTCTGATGCTCAAGCAGATCGAGGTCGACCGCCGCCGCAAGGACCAGTTCGATGATCTGATGCGGGCCAACGCCAAGCTGGCAGTGGAGCAGGACGAGCAGCGCAAGAACTCGCTCGAGCAGCTCAACAATGCCATCTTCGATGACTTCTACGATCAGTTCAACAAGAATTCCCGCTAGTTTATATCAGACACAAACACACACACACACGTTCCAAGCAGCCCGACCCTTCTCCGTGGCCCGGGCCCGGCTAGGAAGTCGCCCCAGTTCCAGTTGCAGCACTGCAGAGAACCGTGGCGGCTTCCCAGTCGCGCCTAGGACACCAGAAACCACAATGAAATTTGTAACAGTTTAAAATGTAATCTCCAGTTATCCACAGATCAATCGTTCGTTGGGACAGTCTTGTTAGAAATTCAAATACATACAATTCGGCAGAAAATATCAAGCAGCTGTGGTTTGGAACCTTGGTTGGGACTGTATGTACCTTTCTGACATTATATTTGAGTCCAATTGGAGTTCAACAACCGAAAAGTGAGAGGTGTTTTCTATCCCGTTCTTCCTGATATCTCAGCGGATAATGGGGTGTCCGGGCCTGTTACATATGTAGGTAAATTTTCTTGTGCAGGGCAGGGAAAAAACAGAAACCGAGTCAGGAAAAAGAGACAGAGGACAATACTCTCTACTCAAAGACAGGGCAGCGAGGCGTGAAGCAACAGCAACCGCTCTTCGGGGTGCAGTCCGTGTCTTTCTGTCTCCCTCTGCGCCTGCGTGCACACACACGGACACAACACATGTGAGGAAGAGCAAGAGGGAGGGGGGTAACTAACAACAGGGGGAAGATTCCCTTCAGATGACAGTTTTCCTTATCTTTGAGGAAAATCTTTGTGGAATTGTTGTGTCACGTTATTGCTCGGAGAAACACACCCCCGATGTACTTACCTCGCTCTCGTGGAAGTTCTTCAATATGTCCATCTGGTACTGCACCACCTCGAAGAATCGCTGGCGGTCGTTCCGGGGTGGCAGCTCCTTAGCCTGGACACCGGGGGCAGCTCCACACTGTGGGCCCTGGGCCGGGCTTTCGTCAATGGCGCTGCTGGCCTCGATGATCGAACGATCGATAGACATGGGTGACATGACGTCGGTAACGGACATGGGCGTCCCCTCGAGGTCATATTCGTGCTGGATGGAGTACTCCTTGGGAGCAGCATTGCTGTACGGAAGGTTGAGAGTTAAGGAATGGGGCATAAAAGGAAAGAGTCCGGAGGATACTCACTACTTGGCGGCGTACTGATTCTCCTTGTCGGCGGCAGAGGACTGCCCCTTGGCGGCGACCGGCGGCACCACCTGCGTGTCTATGTTATCCTCGTACACAGAGAATGTCTTAAACTGCTCCACCACGGGCACAACGTTCGATTTCTTCACGGCCAGGCCAGTGTTCTCGTCCGTATTGACGTTCTTTACGTCGCGGAAGAATTGCTGTAACGTAACACACAAATACAAACGTTAATTTGGATGACATTGGGCGAGTGTGCCGTGTGCCTTAGACTGTGTGAGAAGGGGGTAACGATTACAGCAACAGTGCACCAACCGCGGCTCTCTCGCTCTTTTCCTTTCGCTGGAATAATCCTGTTACGTCTCATGCTGCTGCTGTGCGCGCCTTTGAGTGGCTTCTCACAGTGTGCGATAGTATTAGTGTGCGTTGTAATTGTATTTGCCATCCCTCTCTCTCTCTATTTCTCCTTGAAAAAGGCGCGCAAACTGTTGCAATTGCATGGATGTGCAATTTCTAGGTTAGTTTTAGGTTAGGCGCGAACAATTAGCGGAAGTTATCTCCCGAGTGGAAGGAGTGGGAACATGCAACCTAATCGCGCATAGCGTTGCGAGAGCGAGACACAAACAGAGAGAGACAGAGAACAACCACCGCAGTCATACAAGCGGATCGAGGCGCTCCCTATGGAAGGAAAGCAGGCAGCTTACACAAACAAAAAAAAAACACACACACACACACGCACAGAAAGATCCCACCACCACAACACGCTGTCAGCGAGACAGCAGCTGCATTAGAATGCGCACAGCACAAAAAAAAACAACAACAAAAAGGACAGACTGGAAGAATGGAAATAACTGTGCTATTCGGGACTTACCATTTTCCCTGATGGCGCTGGATGAGCACGCTGCACATTTCCATTGTTGTTGTGGGTATTAAGCACAGCAAAATTGGCGCGGGGGCCCAGTGCAATCTTCTCCTTAATTCCGCCGATCACGGCCAGGGGCTGCTTGATGGCACCCATATTCTTTTCCTTCAGGACAGCCGGACCAGTTTTGGCCGGGTTCTCCTTGTTGTTAGGGTCGTGGTGTATTTGGAAACTGGCCATTTTTGCCTCTAATTCAGCTTCCTTGCTGTAAAAATGGTGACTACTTTACGCGTTTCTCTCTATCTTGTTCGCCTCTGCTGCGATATTTATTAAGCGTCGTTCGCGTCTGTGGCTTCTCTTCGGCTTGTCGTCGTCTCGCTTTCTTATGCTCGACGAACGCACAAACACATACACACTGCTATGCTCAGCGCACACATTTACATTTACTCAAAGGCAAATTTTATCATTAAAACCTGACGCTGGATGGCAACAAAATTTAAAATACACTCGAAGTTTACACAATTTACGCAGAATTAATTTGACTATCAATTTTTACAACACATTTGCGTCTCGCCAGCACTGGAATAATTTGTTTTCTCGATTTCTAGACTACGCTCGCACTGACTTTACTTTGGGCTCCGACGCCGTCAACAAATTTTTACTTATGCTGGGGCTGGGGCTGTCAAGGTCTCAGGCGCTGGCAAATGGCAATTGAAAAAAATGTTTGATTTTTTCCCGGTTACTTCTCGGCAATGTGACCGTGTATTGATCGTATACGGTCTGACTCTCAGAAATATACCGAAAAATACTGCCCACTGAAGCCCCCTCTATTTGAACAGTTCAATGACTTGAGGTAAATGGCGAAAATTAATAGTGTTTGTTAATTCTTCTGGTAGATCCGTCCTATCCTTCTTCTGTAAATAAAAAATTCTATGCTTTTCAGCTGAGCTGCACTAAAACTATTAAACTCTTATTATTTTCGGTAGAATACTAAAATTCCCCCTTGGTCTACAATGGGTTAATCGTTCTCCGTGAAGGATTGGAAACCATATTGCTCGATTTTTATATTCGATTTGATATTACCAGCTGGCTAGCATTGCACTATCTGAACACATCATTTCATCCCATTGATAAATCAATTTTCTAAAATACATGCTAATTTCAAGTACTCATTTTTATTGGATTGTTTATGAAATGACGTTTTAACAATGAAGGTCAACAACAATTTCCACAAAACTAATTGTTTGTGCATGGTAACTACATGCATATTAACTACATTTGTATGTAATTATCGAAAGTGGAACCAGAAATATACCAGAATATACCTTCTCACATTCAAAATATACCGTAATTATACCGATGAAAATGCGAACTTAGCCCACGGAAACCCTTATATTTACACAGGGGAACAACTTGAGCTTAGCCGCGGAGAACTGTACTGTTTGTAAAGTCTACATGTAGATTCAACCTTCCTCTTCCCCTACAAACAAAATTACCCCGTTAGATTTATTATTTTCGTATAGTGTATTTGAATACACACTGGTCGATAATGGGTTAATCGTTCCCTGCCTACGATCAGAAATTATATTCCCTGATTTTTTTTTATATTCGGTTGAATAAAATATTGTGGGCTAGTTTCCGATATTAATTACAATGAAATGAAAGCAACCAAAGTTTGGATGTCCACAAAGTCGAAATATTTCTTATATCATGCAAATATTCGTTTAAACATAGCGAAATTACAAAACAGCTGACTGCGTGTTGTTTAATTAAATATTTTCTTTGTCCGAACTGAATAATCTTATGTACAGCTTAAGCTTTATTTCCCATTTAAAATGGATGAAAGGGAACAATCCCAGCTGACTGCCAGGTAACAATGATACCATTGTTTTTCCCCCAACCCACTCTGACGACCCAATCCCTAATCGCGCTACCGTTACAACTACATCGAGAGCCACGAGCTTCTTGTACTAGGCTTAAAATAAAATTTATGTTTAATTTGTTTTCTTGTTGCCCAATTCTATACTATTATATTCTATTGCCAGGGCAGCCATACAGCTGGTAAATATTTCGGCCACTAACTTTCGCTCTCGTTCTTATCAGTGTGATACGGAGAGGAAGTCGTGCAGAAACGAAGGCCGAGCTTTGATTCGCCTACGCTGTTCTGCTGCACCGCCCTCATCACCCTCTTTGAGCCCCCCCACGCTACTGCAGCTCGCCACCCACATTTCTCGCGACACTAACTACTTCGCTCTCGTTCTTTTCAGTGATATTGGGAGAGATAAGACGCGCAGAAACGTTTGCCGGTTTCAAAGCAGAGGTTCGGGCCGCCCAAGGTCCTGCATTCTTATCACGGCTAAGTCCCCCTCATGTGAAAAATGGAAAAGATTTCAATCCGAGCTATAATTAAGTGGTAATTTAGTTTTTGTTTAATTAAAAACAACAACTCAACAAAAATAATATTCAACAACAATGCAACAAAGGAAACAGCAAATAATATTCAACGCTACAGAATTATGGGAACAGGTGAGTCTTTCTGTTTTAATTTACTCTGTATACTGATTTTGTTGGTTTTCCGAGTTTTATTTATATATTTATATTTTCCATACATCCAAGTATTTCCTCCTTTTCCCCTTTCTCATTTATAGGGTTTTTTTTTGTATCAGATAATATTAAAGGGGAATTCCAACCGTGTTCTATGTACATGCGGTACATATAATGTGGGGGCGGGCTCTTCAGTTTTACTCGTAGTAGTACAACCATCCTGAACGTCCAATATTTGCACCTCTGGTTAATCACTAATGCAATTTCGGTGTCAGTATTTGCGATTTTGAAGCCTTTCTCACCCTCACGGAGGGCCATTCGAGGAGTCATGCCTTTCAAGCGCCTTTTCTGGTTGGAAGCGCTGCAGAAGGACACTTATACAGCGGCGCTGCAGATGCCTACCGCCTGGGCACAGAACAAAGCGCCGCAGGACTTCTGTGTCGGACCCAGTCGCATGCGTCCTATGTGCGCTCTAAATGAAATTTGTATGCATGTATGACAGCGCCCGACCATTGTGCCCTACCTGGATTCTATCGGTCGGTGTGCACTCATGTTGACTCACTGCAAGATCGGGTACGTGGGGTATTTTCGCTTGGTCTAGGGATTTTAAACACTCACACACACGTTTTTGCGTAACTCCCATTGTTTATGCAATTCGGTAGTGTGTCGTGTCTTAGGCTGGCCAAGATGTTTCCGGAGCAGCAGTTGCTGACCATCTTCCCGCGAACAAAGGCCGCACTAATACACCTTTTACTTACAGTTTTACAGCTGTCACCAAAGGGATGGAATTTTGAATGGACTACTGCAACAAATTGCTCCCGTCTTTGGATAAATGTACAAATGAAAAATCCTTGGTTTTTATGGATTCATTATATCATTATAGGTTGCTCGGACTCAACAATTTCAGTAGATGAAGAAGGGAAATACTTGTTGGATAGGAAAACCATCAAATTGAAAGAATACGCTACAAATCTATACTAAATTGATATCATTGATTGGAATAGGCGCTCATTTTCATGCATTGACCGAACAAAAGTCCACTCCAGTTCCGAAATATTGAAAAACGCTCTGGGAAGGACATAATCCATTGGGGTCAATGAACTCACAGTCCTGTTTAGACACATGCATGCACATATAGATGTCCTTGAAATCAACTTATATTTTCTTATATACACGGTCGATTGTAACTTTCATGTCATAATCAATAACGATAAAAGGGAATAATCATATGTACAACTAACAATAGAAGCGACTAGACTAGGCTTTTGAAAAGAAAAACGTCATTATTTCTATGTGGATACCTCTACGGATAGACGGATTTGTATCTCAACGCTTCAATTAATATAGGAAGGAAAGCGTTGCGCTTTCAGCAGTCGTACAAGGTGGCACATCCTCATGGATCGTTGCGGCAAATTATAGATATCCGACGTGCTTTTGGTATGGCTGTGCCGAGGAACGTAGAGTGCTCCTTCGACAGTATCTCATGAGTGAAATTGTAGCGAGCCGTGTGGCACATTATGTAGAGCGAGCGCCGCGGGAGTAGCAGATCTGCGTAGAAGCCATTTTCCAGCAATGCCTCCGGAAAACGCCGATGGCCATATACTGCATCGGAGTCCGCGCTCTTGGCATCCGTCACTGTCTCCGTGACGGGCTGCTGGTACTTCTGGGCATCTGTGCGCACGAGACGCATTACGCTGTCGCTTAGTAAGCTGATGCCCGAGATGGTGGTGCCGCAGTACTGTGAATGAGATGGCGTTGGTGTTGGTTGGGCCTTTGCTGGGAATGAACTAATGGCTAAATTTACCCTGGTGCTGTCCACATGCGGCTTGATGACCCCGTCAGCGGCTAGATCCAGGACATGGATGTAGGGCATTATGGCCCCGTCGAATGCCACTTGGCGCACACGCTCTAGGACATCGCGGTTATGTGGATACCACTTCTTGCGCTCAGTCTCTCTAAACCCGTGTATGGCCTGCAAGATGGAAATACTTAAGCTGCGCGCCAGACTGGTGCTGATGGTTAGTTTTTGGTGAACTCACGTCGTCCCAGTGATCGAACTCATAGCGCAGCCGGTTCATGTACGGCTCAACCTCTTCGTGGAGCTGTTGCTCCTCCGACTCGGTGATGAAATCCGGGATGATGCGCATGTGTTGAACGAACTCCTGCTGCTCCGACTCCGGCCACTTGCCAAAGAATGCAGTCAAGGGGTTTCTGACCTTGCTGCAGGCAGCCGCTAAAACCAAACGAACACGTTTCTATTGAACAAGTCTCTGTTCAAGTATTTTGTATTACGAACCTTCGGTATGACAGCGCCGGAGGATCTGCCTGATGGGTGAGCATCTATTCAGTATTATCATGATTTATTTAAAATTTCTTATTTGTTTTCCGAAAGTTACGTGCAAGTGAGAACAGCTGATATTGGCAGGGTTGTCATAGTCACCGTTTGTTGTTATCAGTTATCGATAAAATGACAGTTGTGTTTGAAATGTTTTGATATCGAATTTAAAAATTGCATTCCGAGAAAACTCATTTATTTAATATAATATGTTGCTATTTGTCAATACAGCTGTATAATAGACGGATCAACCTGATTCTGATCAAAACTAGTTTCCTTCTGTCTGCTTAGGCTTTCATATTTATTAGTGCTCATTCATTCGGGACAGAAGCAATTGGCGCCCATTCTCCTAGGGGCGTTTGCACCTACTGCGACAGCTGCCGAGGGAGCAGTAGCGGTTTCTGTTCCCATTACATCCCAAAAACTTCATCTTCTGGCAGTCGTTGATGCGTGAGTTGTACCACCACATTTCTCTCATGGCTCTCTCCTGACACGTCGCACGATTGTTGTTGCCTTCATCCCTGCCGCCTGTGCATAGCTGGATGCCTACGGAAACATATTGTCCTGTAAGGGCTTAAGCTCGAAAATCATCTTTACATACCGGGACGCCCAGCGCAGTAGGTCTGGGCCCTAGTGTGGGCCACAAATAGGGCCAGGCAAGCGAAAATGAAAGTGAACTTCATTCTCAGCGGAATCGGATCGGGTATTCGATTGGAACTGTTTAATCGACCGCTATGCAGGCCTTATATATGTATGACCAATTCGCAGCCGATTGCTTCTTTCAAAAACATGTTCACAACAGTCTGAATAGTGCCATACAATAGAGTAGCTTGTTCTTGATATTTACAAAACGACATGTACATAAATGGAACGATTTATGTACTTGTAGAGTCAAAAGTAGTGCCCCGAGAGCAGAGGGCATTGAGTTTTATAGCGAGACGGGAATTCCGGAAGTCCTTCAGTGTGTCTATTGAGACTTGCATTCGATTCCCATTGCTTTCTTTGTTGTATACCAAACGGAGCTATGTATGCTCTTTCCTGTAAATTCATTGTGGCACTTTCAATATATTTGCATTGAAAATTTCATGTTTATTTATTATCAGAATGGTTCATCAGAAACAGGATCAGGACAGGAGAGGACAGGACAGGATCTAGCGGCACTTTCTGCGACAATGGGCAAGAGAGCAGTAGCGGTTGTTGTTGCCGCCACAGCCCAGATATCTCATCGTTTGGCAGTCCCTGGTGCGACTGTTGTAGTACCACATCACCTGCGTGAATCTCGGTCGACATGACCAATGACGGTTGTTGCCTTCGTCCTTGCCGCCAGTGCATACCTGGAGAACTACGCAAATAATGTCCAGTTACGTCAAGCTCGATAGTTAAATGATCTTGACCTACGGGGACGTCCAACGCAGTTGTCCTGGGCAGAGGTGTGTCCCACATAGAGGGCCAGACAAGCCAAAACCAAAATGAACTTCATTCTCAAAAGACTTGGGTAAAATGTTCGACTTGAACTGTTGGATAGATAGGGTTTCGGGTCTTATATAGGACTTATTCGCAGCCGAATAACTACTTTATTTGGGTAGTTATATAGTAAAAAAAAAATATACATGGCACATGGCGTGGAGTCTATATTTATTCTACTTATTTATGGATACGATGTCCAAAATAATGCCTTTCCCGAGCTATATTTGTCGATCATCAAAGCAAACAAAACAAAACAAAACACGTGCTCGTTCACCGAAGAGAAAGGCGGTGAAACAGCTTTTTAGGATGAACACAGAACACAGTTGGGTCGGGTGAGAACAATGTCTGGTTGTTGGAAACTGAGCTTTATAAAGAGCACAGCAGATGCAGTAAGCCCTAATTCCGAACTCGGAATATCCCGACACCAGAGCTACCGCTCCCTCCAGCAATGCGCACTTCCACGCTGATCCTCGTAGGCCTTGTACTGGCGCTGTACTTGGTCCTGGTTCTGGGTGCCCCACAGAGGTGCAAGGGCAAGCCCAGTAGGTGGATGGATCTTCTCCATACCTGCTCAGGCTTATTTCATCTCTCTCTCTTGTGTGTTTAGGTACCCCAAAATGCGATGGGGCAAAGGACTCCGGAAATAACAGCAAGCGGAAGTGCAAGAAGCAGGCCAACAAAGGCATGTGGCACTATAATGCAGTAACCAAGACTTGCACCTCACTGGACTACAAGGGCTGTGGGGGAAACATGAATCGGTGGTGCAGCAAGCAGGCCTGTGAGACAGCATGTCGACGGTGAACCTTCCTGGGGCCAAAGTCCTAAATCAATAATCTAATTTTCAAAATTGTACTTTATGCTATTAAATTATTCTGAGAACGGAAATTGGAAGATTGATCCCGGAAAAGGAGCAGAAAGGCGGTCAAAACAGATTTTTGTATCGTTTTGGGCGGTAGATAACATGAATGTCGGGAGTTCTTTGATTTCACAAATTTACAACATTTTCGCCAAGTCTCGTGAATGCGTCTAAAAGCTCATCCTAGCCAGTTTTTTGAAAAGTAATTTAAAGAACGAATAGCCAAAGGAAAGCCTGTGGAATGCTCTGTGGACAGAGGCACTCGGTATCCATTACTTTATTGTGATATACTGTGGTGTTTTGAGTTCTGAGTGGAATGCGTTCTTTCGGATTGTCATTTATTTATAATTAAACCAGTGTATACAATTATATGCATGGGACACGATCGATAAGGCCAATAGATTTGCGCTGGATAGTGTAGTATTTATTTTATATCGGAATCGTTCATCAGAAAAAGAATCAGGACAGGATCAGCATCATCATCAGGATCGGCGTCTGCACTTCCTGCGACAACTGTCGAGGGAACAGTAGCGGTTGTTGTTGCCGCCACAGCCCAGATATCTCATCTTTTGGCAGTCCCTGGCCCGTGTGTTATACCACCACATCTCTCGCATGAATCTTGCTGCACACCGCCTACTGCGGTTGTGACCTTCATCCCTGCCGCCAGTGCATACTTGGAACACTACGGAAATAATGTCCTGTAAGGTGGTAAGTTCGATAATTAAATGATCTTGACTTACCGGGACGTCCAATGCAGTTGTCCTGGGCAGAGGTGTAGGCCACATAAAGGGCCAGGCAAGCCAAAACCAAAATGAACTTCATATTCCAAAGACTTGGGTCGAATGTTCGATTTGAACTGTTTGATAGATCGGATTTCGGGCTTATATAGGACCGATTCTCTGGCAGCAGTCAATCAAAACAACTCCACAACAGTCTGACCCCGTATTGTGAAAGATACTTACAATGGGGATGCTTAACCTGTTCTGGGTATCAATACGAGTATGGGTACAATCGATATCGACAAATACAGCTGCTTCTTTCATGCGTATCAGGGCAGACATAATTCAATATAATATACACGTAATAGTGCATTGAAATGCCCCCTAGCATCCGACGAAGCTTTCCATAACCGAGACAATGAACAAGCTGATTCTTGCCTCAGTTTGTTTAAGAATTCGTTCTCGAATCTGTAGCAGAAATCAAGGCGTAGATAAAGGTTTTAGGGTATAAAGGACACATCTCAAAAGTATACAATAGTTTCTGCTTATAGACTGTATCTTTTAGTCTGTTTACACTAGGGCTGCGTCTTGCTGGAGACGTAGGATAACCATTTCAGCACAACTATTACCACTAATAACACCAAAAAATGGCAAATTTTGACGTGTGCAAATTATGGCTGAGGGAAAACTTAAAAACATACATAAAACCCTTAAAAAAAGACTTTGAAATAATTGTATCATTAGATCAGACATTTTTGTGAACACCTGAAGATATCAAGACACTGCTGGATATATTGAAGAGGAACATCGATGGTCTTCACTCCCACAAACTCAAAAAAGGAAAGACTTTCGTCTTCCATAATTTACAGAGTTGATTTCCAAAATTCTGTAGCTTCTACCGTCATCAAACACATAAATCAGCCATATTGCCAGTAGTGTAAACGCCAATTCGGCGTCTTTGCGTCTCTGCGTCTATTTCGATATCGAAAGCAAACGCGCGGCAGTGTAAAAAGTCTATTAGAGATGGAACGGCTGGCCGATAGTTGAAGCTGGGCTTACAGGGAGAACTGAAAGGTGGCCTGGGGGTAATGTGAATGAGTTTTAAAGGCTCAAACTTTCTTTTTCGCTTTGAGAAATAACAAAAATTGAACAACTTATGTATAAAATTATTTCGCTTGTTTATTGGCTGTCATTTGATAAATTATCCTCCTCAAGTGAGTCCATCTTGATGGATCGGTGATCAGTTCATTTGAACATGCGAACAAGAGCTAAAGTTGTAACAAATCAGTTAGCAGTTGGACACTTCGCTACGTGGTAGACATACATATACTTGTATAAAATTATCAAAAGGTTTAAGTACAACAATTCTTAAGGCTAAGCTTCAACCAGTTCTGTACAGGCCTTAGATCACTAGGTAATAATATTAATGTGTTTAGTGTTTATTTTTGTGGGTTTTTCTTTACGTTTACGTTTACGTTTACGTTTAGCTATAAATTCTTTACAAACATTATTACAATTACAATTATGTGGTTCTATATTTATATTCGATTTGTTCTTGTTGCTTGTTGCTCTAGCTGTTTTCGTATTTATTTGTTGTAAAGTTTAAGTTTAAGTAACATTATTTTGAACGGAATGCGGGCATTTAATAAGTAAGGTATTTTGTATTTTGTATTTCGTATTTGATTTGTCGTTGCACAGGTACGCAATGATATATGTATGTATGTGTTAAAGGCAGCTGTCTATCAATTTCATTCTTACTGATCCTGAGGTAGGTGAAAACTGATTACAAAAAAAAAATATAAAAAAAAAAACAAACTGAAACTGAAACAGTTTGGACAGTCGACACACAAAAAAAGGCCATAAAATTATCAAATAAATTACATAAACATTCATTATCCTTTAGCATATGTAACCTACATATATATGTGTATTTTATATCCGTACAGTATCTAACGCTATTTGCCTACATATGTATGTGTAAAGTATATTAAAAAAAAAAAAAAAAACATAAAACAGTCTTGTGGTTGCATTTGTGTTTAGTTTCTCGTTACGCAGACATTTTGCTTCATTTCCTTCGGCTCCTCGGGGTGCTCGTATGAATGCGAATGAATAAATATGAGTGTGTGTGTGTGTGGTGTGTGGTGTGTGGTGTGTGAATGTGAATGTACGAGTAGTGTGAATGCGAATACGAGTGTTCGAGTGGGGATATTATATATACGTATAAATAAATTCTACTCTGCTTAATTACTGGGTACTTGCGCATGTCTTTTTCTTGGTTTCTTGGTGTGTTCTAGGAATTGGAGTTTGGCTCCGCTTAAGTGTGGCTTGGGGATGGTTGGTTTTTGGATGTTGGTTCTCGTTGCATATGGTATTGTATGATATATGGTATGTACAAAGCGGCTCTACCTATATCTACATATATGTACAGGCCTACTAATATTTACAGGGACACACACGGGTATGTTTCCGTACTTTCCGCTTCGCTCAGCTCACCTGCTGGGTGAGCAGATTGACCAGCTCCGTCCGCTCCATGTTGTTGAGGGTGTGCATGTCGACGCCCAGGGCCGCCGCCACCGCCTCGATGTCCAGCCCGAACGAGGTGAGCAGCTCCAGGAAGCGCATCTCCTCGCCGGTCAGCGGATTGGTCAGTGTGGGGCAGGAGTGGTTGCACTGCGGCCAGGAGCAGCGCTCCAGGAGGCGGAGGCCGCACTTCTCGGGCACCCGGGGCACCCTTGGACGCTTCTTCGACTTGGTGCCGGAGGAGGAGGCGTTGTTCGAGGATCGCCGCTTCTGGGGCTCCCCTAGTGCCTCTCCCCCGTTTCCGTTTCCGTTTCCGTTTCCATTTCCGCTTCCGTTCGCATTTCCGTTTCCGGCTTCCCCTGCGGCCGGCTGCTCGTGTTGCATCTGCATCTGCTGCTGCTGCGCCTTGCGGCGTCGCTGGCGTTGCTCCTGGCGCTGTTCCGCCGTCAGTGGCTGGCGGCGTCGCTGCTTGTGCGTATCGCTGGCGTTGCTCTTCGGCTTGTTGTTGTTGTTCTTGCCCTCTGCTGCTCCTCTGCTTGCGGCGGCGGCGGCGGCTGCGGCCTGTGCCTGCTGCTTGTGCTGCTGCCGGCGGCGTTGCTTGCGCCTCTGCCGCTGCGCCTGGCGCAGCCGCTTGCGCTCCTCCCTCTGCTCCTTGCTCAGGTGGTTGTGCTTCCGGGGCTGCTGCTGCTGCGTCGCCAGCGCCACGTTGTTCTGCTTCTGCTTCTGCCGCTGCTGGCGCTGGCGCTGGCGGTGTCGCTGGTGTCTTTGGTTGTTGGGATGCGGATGCAGATTCTGGCCGACGGCCGTGGAGGCCTCCGTGGAGCGCTTCAGCTTTTCGTTGCGCTTGCGCCGCGTCGAGTGCTCCCAGCAGCGCAGGGCGGAGGGCAGGGAGATGTCGTCGATCTTGATGTTGACCCAATCCCGCTTCGAGAGCACCGCATGGCCGATGCAGCTCGGAGCAAAGACGGCACTCACGTTGTCCAGGGAGGAGCGCAGGGCGCCGCCCATCTCGTGGATGTAGTTCCACTGCTGGGGCGTCACCGGAGCCCCCACGTTGTCCGACTGCATCTGTGCCTCGTCGAAGAGCCACTGGAAGACGAAGAGCGGAGCTGGAGGAGGGAGACGTTTGGTTAGGAGGATTCTCTAGATGAGGGATTCTCGGGGGGCACTTACTCTTCAGGGTGGGGTACAGGCGGTAGCCGAAGTAGCAGCGCCAGGGCTCCGTGGGATGCGCCTTGGTGCAGTCCTCAGGCAGGAGGCCTTGCCACAGCTTCCAGCCCTGACGCACCGACTCGCTGGAGGCCACCGCCGAGGGTGTGTAGGGCTCGCGGTCGAGAAACCATCCCGAATCGCTCACTCCCCGCACCGTGACCTGCAGCTGGCGCTCATTGACCAGAAAGTCCCGAATGCGGTCCAGATTCAGCATCACCCCCAGGCCGCCCGCGGAGGAGCCCACCAAGAGCAGCTCTCCCCCCGGTACACGGCCCAGGCCCAGGGGAATGAGGTCGGCAATGACCTGGCGCAGGATCAGCGCACCCATGAAGCGCCACCTGTTCTCCCTGTCGCTGGTGTCCGGCTCCGTCCTGGTGCCCGACCACGAGTCGCTGCTGCAGTACGGAATGAGCACGTGGTTGGCATTGTGCCAGTAGGGATTCTCCTCGGCATGGGGCGACAGGATGCCACCAACTGAAAGGCACGAATAGGCATAGAATTAGTCCCTGTTGGAGCTGCTTTCTCTCTTGCTCTGGACTCACCATCCCTCGTCTCCGGCCACTGGGAGGAGGTCATGAGGTGGCGCAGCCTCAGCCACCGGGCGCGGCACGACCTCACATCGAAGCAGTGCCAGCCACCCTCGAGGAAGACGATCCACTTCTTGGAGCTGGGCTGCTTGCGCAGGTAGAAGCCGGCGTGGGTGCCGTCGTTGCAGGTGATGCTCGAGTTGGTCAGCGCGGCCCTCTTGAGGGAGCGGCTGTGGTCCGTCGTCGAGTGGCCGTGGCCGGCTCCCGCTGGGTGCATCACCATGTAGTTCCGCTGGATCATGTTCATGCTGGTCTCCATCGCGGGCCGAGCTCTCTGGCGCACCGCCTGCTCGTGGTCCTTGTCCAGGCTGGAGCTCACGGAGGCCACGGCAAAGGTCTCCAGGGTGCCATCTCTGCCGCTGCCGCTGCCGCCGCCGCTGCTGCTGGCATTGGCGTTGGCGGCTGGCAGCGGACAGAGGGCGACCAGAAGCAGCAGCAGCAGGAGGAGCGAGAGATGCCTACTCGGTGCTGTTGCTGTAGCTGTTTTCTGAAAGAGAACGGAGAGAGAGAGAGGAAACAAACGGTTAGATTCTAGTTGATAACTGAAACACCACACATCTTTCGCTCTTGGCCTCTCTGTGGGGCTCTCTCTAGGCCTCTGTTGTTTTTGGCGGAATCAAAATGCGAGCAAGAAGCTTTGCGATAAGATCAAAGAAATTTTTGCCGCAGTTCGTTTCGTTGTCGTTCCGTTTCGTTGTGTTATTCCTCTGCCCCCCCCCAGTCGCCACTCTTCCCACCGCTCTCCGTGTGCTGTTTGTTGTTGGCTTCGTGGGGAAAGAACGATATAATGGATGTGTACGTATATCCGACCACTGAATACCCGCTAAATTTCGAATATCAAATAATATCCCAAAGCAAGACCTACGGCTCCTAGTAGGCTCATCATTTGCAGGGCCTACCCATGCTCTGGGACAAACATTACCAGGAGCACAACATACCCCTGGCTGGCGACAATTACCGGGTATCAAAAACCTCAAGCACCGGCAAAGTATTTAGTCAAACATGGCAAGAAATTGCTGTTAATCATACGCCCCGTGGGCCAGTGCCAGTCCCAGTGCCAGTGCCAGTCAAACAAATTTCAATTTCACATTGTCATGGCCGCTGACGCGTGGTAATCACCAGCGACTGCAGCGCCAGCTGCTCCGTCGCCGTCGGCGTCAGCGTCAGCGTTAGCTGCGACGTCAGCGTCAGCGTCAACGTCGGACCGTTCTTGGCTTTGAACTTAAGGTCGCTTTTCGTAGCTTTGGCCGTGCACACACACACACACACACACACACGCACACATCAATCAAACGGTCTATCCGGCGATTTGTTTTGTTGTTTTCGCCGATTCCCGGGTTGCCGGCTTCCCGTTCCCTCCTCACCCCTTTGTTTTCCGTTTAGCTATTTTCCAGCAATTTGTTAATAATACAACAACAACAAACAGCATTTGCCGACAGCAACAAACGGCAACAACAATTTTAGTGTCTCAGTGTGTCAGTCTGTCAATTTGGTTTTGGTCTGGTCTGGTCTGGTCTGGTCTGTGTACGGTCTTGCCTCCGCATAAATAACCATTCAGAAATCGTAAAGAAATCTTCAATCAATGTTTGTATAGGCCTTTGATGTTTCGCCGCCCTCTGCCGCCGCCAGCAGCGACAATTTGCAGACGAAAATGCAAATGACATACACAGATACACACACACACACACACACACACACTGTGGCAAACGATTGGGTATTGGATAGAGGCCTACAAAGTAGGCCCCAAGTATCCCCCCAGCAGTCGCCGCAGACTCGCATAACGGTAGCCGGGAGACTGTGAAATAATCGCGAAAGAGCTCTCTGGGAGGAGATTCTATATTTAGAGCCGCCAAGCGGGTTCGGGTTTGGAATCGGGTTCCGAGATCACATTAATCTGGATTATATTAAAGTTATATTTGAAATATGCATATACCCGTCGTAGTAGGTAGCATTATGATAATATTCGATGATTGGAATATTTGATTTATTTGATATTTCAATTCATTTCATTTGGATCTGCTACAAAGAACATCATAATTAAGGATTGGTTTGGCTATTTCTGCATAACCTCTTGAGGGACGGGAAGGGCACTCTTACTCTGCAATAATCAAAGCATTTAATTGGATATCACTTAGTGACCTACAACCTACAGAGGAAGTCCTTTGGGTACCATTTTATAGAACTTATTCGTATGTGTTCCGTGGTTTACTTCTTTTCCAGATTAACTAATTCTGTTCGCATCTCTCTCTCTGCACCGTATCTCCGCGCTGTATCCTCTTCTCTCTCTCTCTCTCTCTCTCTTCCACTCCTCTTCCGTACGTCTCTTACAACAGGTTTAAATGTCTTCTGCCCGCCCCGCCCCGCCCCGCCCCGCCCGTCCCTGTTCGTGGGTCTGTTCGTCTGATGTTTGCCGCCAAACAACGAAAATTGACAAGAGCCCGGCCCCCCTCCCCTCTCCGACATTAGATGAGTAGTTTCCATTGTTGATTAGTTCAACTGCGCCAACGCCAACCACCAAAAAAAAAAAAAAAAGGAAAAAGATGGAGATACAAATAAAAAGATTTCACGTGTGCGTGCGCGGATTTACGTTTGAGTAAACACACACTCGAAGACAGGCCAGACACACGCACGCTCAAGAGAGAGACATAGATACAGATACAGATACAGATACAGATATACCCCATACGGGCAGATACAGATAGAGGGTACGGGCACGGGTACGGGTGAGCGTACGTTGCACTTGCTGTTTACCTGTCTCGATCGACAGAGAGAGAGAGAGAACAACTAAAAAAAAAACGGCGGCAAGGCGGCAAGACGGCGGCGTTGCCAAAGGAAAAATGTTCACAAGCGCCGCTTAATTACCCTATATAGAGTCTTAAGTTGCGCTATTAATTGCGGGGCACTGCTTATTAATATTTTGCTTTTGCTTTTGGCTGGCTTGTACCATGTCCACCCCACACCATAGCACAACACAGCACAGCACCCCACCTCTCTCCAATCTGTCGCTCCTCCTCCTGCAGCGATGCCGACAAAGGAGGAGCTCGCTCTCTCGGCCCGAACCGTCTGGGGGCTGGCTGGCAGCCAACTACTTGTCGCGCCGATTATATTGTCAGTTTTTATTAATTGCTGCAAATACATAGCCGCAGTCGCAGTCGCAGTCGCAGTCGTAGCCCCGTAGTCGTGGCAGCAGTGCGACTCGGTGGCGCTAAGCGTTCTTGATTTTCAATCGCAAGCCCGTTGCGACTGGAATTGATTTGATTTGATTTGATTTGAGCACTTAAGTGCTGCGGTCTGTGGGTGTGTGTGTGCTACTAATTAAAATGCAATTTGGATCGGGTGGGGGGATGGGGATGGGAAATAGATCAAATAGATCCAGCGTGTTTATACGTAGATTGCTTTCACTCGGGATAATCCCATCGTAAAACCGTTTTCAATAATCCCATCGTTATCAATAATGACCTTGTCGGAGTCAAAGAACAGCCGTGCCGTCGTGAAACCACAAAGTGGGTCTAAACTTGCAACAACAACAACACCAAAGCAACACCAACAGCAACACCAACACCTCTGTTGGAGTAGGAGAACGATATCGCTCGCTACACTCTCGCGAGGAGGGCAGGGCTTATCGGGGAATACGCTTAAATAAATATCAGACCAGGGCATAAATAAACTTCCGTTGTCGTTATTGTTGCTCTCGTTGCACGTGTGGTTGTTGTTGTTGTTGTTGTTGTTATTATTGTTGTTGATTGTTTGATTTGCTTGCGTCGGCATTGGCCGGGCGGTTCTCTGTTGTTTGCCGGCTTTCGGCTTTGGGCTTCGGGTTGCGCTCCACAAATTCCAGAATCGTTATGCGATCCTCAAAACAAAAACAAAAACAAAATACAAATCATCTACAAGAACATCAAGCAGATCGAATATCAACAACAACAAGAACTATGGGAAAATTAGGAGCTGGAGATGCATCCAACTATTTATTATCCATTCAACAAATATACGAGTATGGAACGGGTAGTAGGAATAGATTAGGAACAGATTAGGAGAGAAAGTAGAGGCTACCAAAGAAGAAGACTCTCCTAATGCAACAATTAATATGTTCTTCCTTATGGATTCCAGGAATAAGTGTCCCAATGTATTGTACTTTGAAGTTTTCCATACCCCTCGGGCGTGTGTGTATTTCTTGACATGTTTTCGCAGAGCTGACCTGAATCGAGCATTATCGGATTGCCTTTGGCTGAGAGCTTTAGAGAACATTGAGGCCTAGGCGCGTATATAATTGCAGAGTTCCCGAAACCCCCAACCCAACGCCGCTCTCCCCTGTCTCCTGCCGCCTGCCTGCCTGCATGCTGGCCTGCGGGGCATAAAAATACACCTGTTTGCAGCAATTTAATACTTTTTATGGTAGGGAAATAACGCGGTGGCAGCTACTGCTGCGGCTGTTTCTGTTGCCGGCTGCCGGCTGCCACAGCTACTGCATTGCTGGAATGGCAGGGCAGAGGCAGAGGCCGGGGCAGAGGCAGAGGCAGAGGAGCTGGTAATTCGGAAGCAGCCTCAAATGAAGCCGCAAGCCAGCGGCGGCAACAACAAAAGCGAAGCCGCCAAAACGTATAGCCAGTGCCGCAGCAGCAGGAGCAGCAGCAGCAGCAGCAGCAGAAGAGGTAGCGTTATTAGAGCGGGCCTGATCTCTGTATCTGTATCTGTATCTCTGTGTGCGTTTGTTGTATCTGTGTGGATGTGCGCACGTCTGCCGCTGGTCGGTTGGCCGCTTGCCCGCTTGGCCGCTGATCGCTTTTTACTCCGAGCGCGCTAAACCCGTGCCGTTTTCGGCTTTGTACTTTGCCGCTTTGCCCAATGGATGGACGGACGGACTCGACTCGACTCGCCTCGACTCTCGTGTATGTTTGCGGCATGTTGCAAAGCAGATCGGACCTGAGCCAGGCCAGGCCAGACCAGGCCAGTACCAGTTCGGGTTCGGGTTTGGGTCTTGGGCTCGGGTTCGGGCCAACTACAAAAACCCAAGGCATCGTCGTCGCACTCATTGATCTTAACTTTGAAAACAGTAGCTACTACGGTTGTGGAATGGATTGTGGATTGGATTGGAGTAGAGTGGAGTGTGGAGTGGAGTGGAGTGTGGAGTGGTTGGATGTGGATGTGGATGTGGATGCGGTTGGGGATCTGGACTCGTATTCAGACTTCAAGCAAAGTGGGGCGCACGAAAGCGGCCTGCACTTTGTTGTTGTTGTTGTTGTTGTTATTGGTGATGAG